CAGTCTTCTTGTGTTTTCTGAATAATGAATACACCAAACTCACAATTTGATTCGCTTATTGTAGTATGAGTTGGCACGTATATCTGATTCGGAAAAAATACTGTACCCAAGCAATATTTTTTATATTTTCTTATCTCCTGGAGCGCCCGGAATGAAATTCCTATAATGTTCGAAGAACATCGTGCGTACTTAGGGAGGATAGGGAAAGGAGGTAGGTATCGGATTTTTTTTTAAAATAACGTAGTCTTCAAGGAAAGTAGGCCCGGTCCTGGAATTTTTCATCGAATAGACTCTCTTTCCACCTCTCGTAATAAATGGATTTAAGTGAATTTGTTGCACGATGTGACTACAATAGCCAGTACGAAATTATGGAATCGTTCATCAATATTTTGATCGATATTTTTTCACCAATCCGGTAGAAGTGTGCCGTATAAATTGAAAAGGTACACTTGTAGTGTTTTTCTGATCTTTCTGATTCTGATGAAAGTTAAAAAAAAAGGTTTCAAAAAGTCTAAATTCTGACATTTAAAAAGGAAAGAGTTTTCCTAGTCCGGCACTGGATTTTTTTCCACAGTCGGCCATCGTGTGGTGTGTGTAAAGGTAAGTTGCTGGAGAAATTCAGGCGATGACATCGAGACGTTCCTGAAATATCGTTGCACATATATTTATATCAACTCACCTTGACTTCCTCTACCTACCGTGAGGCTATGACTGGTTAGTCATGACTCACCCTGTAGAGTGGTTGTTTTTGGTTTTGTGTTGATTTTGGAAGAATACTCTGAACACCTATTCCAATTCTTTATATCATTAGGTTTTTATTCTGAACATACGTGAGTCTTATTTAAAATACTAACAAATCTTCTTGAAGATGAAGAATGAAGATCACCGTGTTCATTCTGTTATCATAAATTCAATTCTACCTGTCCGAGAACATTATTGGTTTCAAAGATAATAATTTTATTCTTTTTGAGTGATCCCACTAACTCTTTCAAAAAATTATTTTAGCTTAAATCGGTCTATTCAATCATATTATGTAAGTTACATTAATATTCACTGCCAGTCGTCCATTGGCAATAACTCAGTTATTTAGTGATCAATTAAAAATGTTCTTAGGTACTGGTTGATTGAACTCAAGTCAACTTGAACTAACAGATTTCAAACAATTTTTATGTACTCTTTCAAATGACAATTTAGCAACATATAACGACTAACGACTCTTTCCTTTTCAAAATACCGTTATTAAAAAACACACAGTTTATTGATCCATTTTGTTATGTAATGATACTGTGGGAGCCACCAAATAGTTGTTTATTTGGTAATTTGAATGAAGAGACGAAGAATTCCCGAAAACAATCATAGTTATCTCGGTTTGTTGACATCAAGTGACATCAAATTATAAATTATTTACTTGGGACAAAGTACACATAATGATACCTGACCATTCTCGGTCTGATTTCAGTTCAAACAGTGATTTGTGAAGATCTATTATGGATAGTTTCATGTCTGTGTGCTCACTTGAATATTTGTTGCTTGAAAACTTCAAGGTAACATAACAAATTATTATTTCATTTATAAGTAATATCTTTGATATCTTTGATCACTGTTAAATATACAGGGTGGCATTGAAATAAGTGCAAATATTTCAAATCCTGAGATAGCTCGACGTATATTATCGAATGTCACCAATAAAAAAATATAGGGATCAAACATCATACGAATTTCTTTTCGTGCGCTCCAGGAGATAAAAAACTTAAAATTTGGGGTTAGATCCATTTTTTCAGTAAAGTTCTACACTGTAGCATATCTGACGTCACCTCTGTTCGAATTTCCGTGCGGAAGGCACAATCACGCGGAATTCAGTCTTTTAAATTATTTTAAAGTGGCGTGCTTGATTTTTTTTGTTTTTTGTTCAGTTTTCGGAATAAAATTTCTCGTTTATTAAATAAATTAGAAATAAATCTGATATGGGAATTCTTTAGACTATCATATCATTTCCAAAAACTGAATTTCTGGATTTACAATTTCATTTTTTTCTTGCGTAGATAATGAAGTTATGACATAAGTGAAGAAACATGTTATTTTTTAAATAAATAAGTATAAAAAGATCTCAATTTTTTTCAAAAAATATATAGGGTATTCCATAGAAAATATTGAGGTTGGTACCCATTTCTCAAATCAACGATATTCATTTGTTTTATCTAGTACAACTTCCTGGAGGTCCAGAACACATACCCTACGAATAGCATTCATTTTTTTCTCTATCTCTATGCCGAATAATCCTGTGCAATGTAATACATCACCCACTCCTAAATTCATGGAATTTTCCAACTAATAAAATTACTTTGAAAATTTTCTGTTATGATTGTTCATTTTTGAGTTCTTTGAAAAACCTGAATTTCCGTTCAATTCCATTTTTCTTCGTCGTTGATAATGGAATTATGCCAAAATTGAAAAAACATCTTCAAGAAAACTGTTGCTGTTGATCAATTTGGCATTATCGATCCAAGGTATCGTCTTTTAGAAACCTCCATCAACTTAATTTTCTTAAATGTTTACAATATGCTAAACATTGTGGTTTTGATGCGTTTCAAACCTATTCAGGCGGTAATGTAATTTCTGGAATACGGACCTGAATTTTTCATCATTCTGTGACAAAAGGTATATTAATCACATTGCACGTTTAAAATGCTTCATCGATTTCAATATGTAGTTCGGAATACGTCAATAATCAATAATTTCATAACATATAGCAAATAACAGTAATTAAATGAATAGATGCACTGAACGTCAAAACTATTCCATACGAAACTGATGAATACTCAGGTGTTGTTCAAAAAGATTCTCATACAGGTCCGTATTCTAAAAATCCTTTTTATGATGTTCAAATTAAGACCTCCAGGAAGTTGTACTAGATGAAACAAATGAATATCGCTGATTGGAGGAATGGGTACAACTTCGATATTTTCAATGGAACACCCCATATATTTTTCGAAAAAAAATAAGATCTTTTTATCCTTATTTCGAAAATATATCGATTATTGATATTTGGTTCAGCAGTTTTCAAAATATTCCAGGTTGAACAGTTTACATTTAGTTATATTTTTATTTCAATAAATTGCAATTGCCTTGAAAGAGAAAGAAGCTGAAGGAGATGAAGAGATTTAAAAAGAAATGCAATTTCACAGATGTTCGATGTGACCACCGTTTTGTATTCATTTTTTGTAGTCTTTAGCCGAATTTATGCAATTAACATATGACAAAAAGTTTCATTGCAAATGGGGTTGTACACAGTAGTCGAATTTACGCCACTTACCTTCTTTAACCCAGGGTTAAATCAAAGAAATACTGCGAATATTCAATGATAATCCTCATTTTATCTGATTCTTCAGTTGTGTGTTGTCTGTTATCTGTAGTTAGTATTCCGTCAAAATTCATTACATATTTTGATAAAAATGACATCAGAAAATAGTCTTGCACTTGAGAACGGATACGTAAGTCGAATATGGTTGCATTGGATTATTCAAGGTATGTCACGCGTTTTCTCGCATTTTTCATGTTATGAAATATCGTGTATTTCAATAATTATTTAAGAAATGTACGGAGCTCTGAGGAAAAAACAGTTTATGACAGACAGTGGACTAGTTAGGGTTAGTACTTCGAATTAATACTGAAATAAAATGTTCCATTAAAACAGGCCCATTGCGATTTGGTAAAATCTAATTATAACTAAATGTAAAATGTTCAACCTCGAATATTTCGAAATCGGCTGAATTAAATGGCAAATATCAATATCCAATATATTTTTGAAATAAGAAACAAATTATCTTCAATTTTTTTTAAACATATTAGGCTATTCCATTGAAAATAACGACGTCGGTAACCATTTCTTATACCAGTTAAAACCCCTACAACTTTTGCATTCGAAGTATTTTTCTTTCTTCAATAAAGAACCTTGTAGAAGCTAGAGTCACTGGATGGTATTAGTTATATAAGAGTTCGGACACAGAAATGACAACTGTTATTGTTTTTGAATGTTTAGATTCATCAAGTTACCCACCTTGCATTGTGACAAGAGTACCATAGTCGTCTCACGCTTTTTCATTCAAAATTGTTGGAATTTGACAAAAAATTTTATGAACGTCAGAATTGAAATTTTATTTAAACTATTGAGAAGAAAGCATAAATGAAAATGTCCTGCTGTGTAATGAATTGTGGGAATTCTGAAGAGAATGGATTTCATTTTTTCAATTTTCCAAAGGAAATAACGATGGAAATATCAACCATTCTCTTATGGAAAGAATCTATGAAACAGCCTAGATGGAAACTGAATTTAAAAACAGGCAAAATTTGTCAGGTACATACATTAAAATTCACTTCTTATAACAGCAGATTAGATATTTCAGGCACATTTTCGAACAGAAGATTTTATGGCCCGTTTGAGACAATCTTCTGTTCCATTCATTTGCAAAACAGACTATTTTTATCATCATCACACAAAATTATCATGAAGAAAGAGGAATTGATTGTAAAACTACGTAACGAAATTGACAATTTGGGAACGAAACGCGTTCTCAATATCCACCGAACTAGCTATAAGTATATCCATAGGTATCTATTTTGTCATATCAAAATGTTCTGCGAAGTGCCTCATCGCTATAAATTGAAGTGGGTGTTCATACCCTACTCCCATTTTCCATCTACGACAAGGATTGATTCGACAGAAACGCTAACCTCTTGAATCGTATCTAACAATCAGGCGCTACTAGGGAATTTGAGAAGACAAAGAGCGGAATATATAATTATGTATTATTCTTTTATTCACTCAAACCATTGTAATATAGAAAATAGAAAAGGACAGAAGTTCAGCTGTGTCCGAACTCTTATCTAAATAATACCATTCAGTGACTCTAGTAGAAGCTATTGAAATATATGGTATGACCCTGTACACTGCGTCACCTTGTCTAATTTGCATTTTTTGTTGAATTACTTTATTTTTGTAGATTGTGAGTGCCCTGCCAGCTCACTTACAAGTGAAACATGTGAGTTCAGACGAAGCGTTCGTCAGCAAAGAATCTAGTCTCGAGGAGGTCCGCGCCGATCCACTGGACCGACGGTTGCAGGATTCCGATGAGTAATTGAGAGGATTCGCGAATGTGCAAGTATTCAAACAATCATGACTTTCGCTACGGACGCACTTTTAGACTAATTAGAACAATTCTAGCATTGGCGAACAATTAGATTCTCTGTATTCTTCCTCATCAATATAATTTAAAAAATTATTATTTCATTATTTCATGTTGAAGAAGGATGCAATCATCGAATGTAATATGCTAATTATGACTATACTATTTTTTTCTGCAAATGACACAGAAGCCGTCCATTCTAATACCAAAATTAGCTCTTGAATTGACGTTTCTATTACTGACACAAACAGGTATGTTGCACGGCTTTCAGTATCTCGGAGCTAAAGTTGAACTTTAGCTCCTAGGAACTAAAGGATCTAGGTCATCAAGAAATCAAGAATAAACAACATTGTTATGGTTGGTTAATTTGGTTGGGACGCATACCTAATTTGTTCCCGATTTCCGCAGATTTAGCATTTCATACCCGTTCTGGAAATATAAATACACCAAGTATTTTTGTTTTGATCAGGACAGCCTTCAAGATTCACATACTTGGTTGATCTGTATTTCATTCGTTATTCTCGGTATGTGATTGTGGATAACTTGTTTTTGAATTATCACGGCCAGCTATACTTTTTTGTCCCACACAACGATATCGATTATTATCTTCATTTGATTACTCTGCCAAACACAGTGGAAATGTGGAATATGGAGAGAAATAAATAATCGCCATTATGATTGTTCATATCCTCACTAACCTAACTTTTCCACTTCTTTCTCCTATACCTGGCACTAGGGCTTAATTCTTCCACTTCTTCCCCCTATACCTGGCACTAGCGTGGTATTTGCTGTTAAGGCTAACACCTGGTCCAAATGAATTCATCGATTCAATAGAATACACAAATGGGTCACTCTGTGGTTGTATTTATATTGAAACAACAATTCGAACATCCTCGAAAATTGAATAAACCTGATCTATTTTAGAATATTCTCACCATACGGATTATTTGTTGCATTGCATACATATGGCGCGGCATCCACGTTTCGGGTATAGTATTGAATTCGTGTCTGTACCTACTGGCCTGTAGTATCTGATGACAATGACATGATGCATATCAACACAAATTGTAACAAAGTAAAGTAATCTGAGGTCTTGCTTCTATCTACTTACTCTCTGCGGTTGCAGAAAAAATAGCACTTCCGTTCTTAGGATCCGGATGTAATTGCAAAAAAAGTTGAATATTTATTTACATTCAAAGTTTCATTAATGATATAAGAATCAAAATTGAGCAGTTGCCAATTAGTCCTATCCATACATTGATAATAAGCGGTTGGGATGCATGTTTTTGAATGCTATTTTCTCTAGTATACCATTTTTGTAGAAAAATGGTAAAAGCAAAATGTCAAATTCGTCACCTCTGTCAAAAATGCTTTCATTAAACGGAAAAAATTCGTCTCATCCTGTATAAAACAAAATCACTGAAAAGCCATGTACGTATTGAAAGGTGCATTAGTATGAGTTTATTTACCTGCCCGGATATCATTGATACCATGGCAACCGTTGAAAGTTATACATGAAATTCTTTTTTTTTACTCTTACTACGAATATTTGGTATTAATATTAAAAGAATAGTCCCAAAGAATTTCTATTAGGTATAATAGCGTTGTCATTGTAATAAAATTGTCTTGCCCCTCGCTTAACCTACGCGACTAGTGAAGAAAACTGTGAACATTGACGCACAACTCCATTGCCAATTTTTAAAGAAATGTTAGGTCTCCCCTCATTTTATATTTCTATGGCTATTTCGCTACAAATGTGCGGGCTTACGCGGAGTTTCATTGGGTGGTCACAAATCCAAATACTATCTCCCCTTGACACCTCAGAAATCGAACGGCTTGTGTCTTACCTGAGAAGCTAGGGCGGTAATACCTCAAAAATAACGAATTCTGTGTAATGGATGTTATATATTTTTTTCATGTTGAATGACCGAATGTTCGAGAAATAAAAGTGATTTCATTCATCGACCACAATTTTTTTCTCAATCATATCAAGCTTTGAACGAATTTTCTCCAACCTCTAAGTGCCCACTGTATATGATTTGAATTGGCCGCTATGGTTAGAATTGTTTCTATTGGTCTAAAATTGTATCGATATTATATGTATAATATTTCTTTCCGTGTGGATGGAATTAGCAAACACTTACGCACAACTTGGTATCCTCTTTCAGAGTAGAATATAGCGCAGCAACTTCTATCATGACGTTTGTTGACTTAACACGACATCATTTCCGAACGCAACAGGTTAAACGATTGCATACGGCGGTGTCCATATGTCGGGACGCATTCGAGTCTGTTGTTGCAGAAGCGTGCAGTACTGGAATACTTGCATTTTAACTCAATTCCTAAAACACGCCACTATTTCACTAAAACTTTGATCCATTTCTTGACGTTGTGATGCACGAGCAAAGAAATATTATACAGACTACTGAAAGTCATGGTCACTTGAACTCTTGCCGCGAATGTCGCCCGCCTACATTGATCTCGTTCGTTATTCCAGGAGCAGCGGCGTGCCGGAAGACGATATCGACACGAGCTGTCACCCGAAATTAAGGTCGACCGTTTCTCTGCCGGTGGTGTCGAGTCGACAGCCCGCTTACCTAAATATCGAATACAACGAAGACAGTTTCAGGAGGTGGGTGGTTCGGTTTTGTTTGCGCACTTTCAGGTCTAACTTGTGCCCTTTGATGCCTCCAAACGGTGCAAGTTACTCTAGGCACTAAAGCGTACCACTGCTTAGTGCCTTACTGACGGTATTTTAAAGCAAACTGATAAAGTGATGTGAATTTCGAAACGTTTGGGATCGAATTTTCCTATTATTCTAATGGAAAGAAATTCATATTTCTCCGTGAAGCTTATGATAGAAACTTATCTTAAACTCAGTGACATATTGCGGTAAATCATCTGATTTTGTCCTACTATACATGCACTACTCCAAGAAATCAACGCACCACCAAAAATTTGCCAAAAGTTTAGGAAACATTCTCGTCAAAAGTACTTGTCCGATTTGGAAGTTTTTTGTTTTGAATGACAGGTTATTTCCTTCTGAACATTGGTGTGCAAACTGTATTCGCAAAAAACCTCTTCTTCATACATACCGGATGGAGCAATTACACCGTGTTTTTTTCCTGATATTCAAAATACCCTGTAAAGTGTTATAGTTACACTATCTAGTTATAATGTAAATCAGACTTTTTTGAATTCACTCCATTATCTTGCCTATAGCCCGAAACACCATTTAGCATAACATAATTTCATGGAAAATTGATATTCAAATTAAATAACGCAAAACCGAAACAGAATGGGAAGTCACAAGTTGAACGGAAGGGTCAGTAGCGAGTATTTCTGCCGCGGACAAGAAAAACGTCTTGGCAAATACGGCCTATTCCCAAAATATGTTGGTCCAGATCTTCCCAAATTTGAATTATCAGTCTTTCGTGCAATTTCCAAAGTATTCATGTGCATTCGTCATGTAATCTTGTCCCTATCATTTCTCCGAGCATCTCAATGAGATTTCAATCCGAGCTCTGAGCTGGCCATGCCGTGGTGACGATACAGACTTCCTCTAGATAATTTCTCACTACTCAAAATTCAAAACCATTTTCCGTACGTGTGCGGGTTCCTTTTACTACAGAAAAAAATTCAAAGAATCAGTATTGGCTAGAATAGCTGTAACTATCCAAATCAACTCTAAGGATCTTGATATTACTGAACTAGCTTATTATGTGATTAATTTTAATATATCAACAATTTGTCATGCGCAAAAATGCCACTTGTTAGATTAGTTGACACTGACACATTGGTATCTTCAAAATAAAATGTTATGAGTGCAAGAAAACTGCTTCGAATTCCATAGTTGTTCAGCTTATTGGAGAGTATTACATGGGAGACATAGTTGAAAGCTTTGGTAAGGTCTCAAATATACAGCAAATTTGAAAGCTTACCAGGGAATTTCCGGTACCCAAAAAATTATTCAGAGAAAGAATATCTTCATTATTTTGCACTGTTAAAATCAATATAATTGGTGGATCATCCAACATGCACCTAAAAATTATTCTTAAAAATATCATTTAGATTCAATAATTAGTTATACCAGATCATTTTGCGTATTTTTATAGGTCCAATGATACGAAATCGGAAAAATTCACCTTGGAAGTAGTCAGGAAAAGGAGCCCAAAGTCGAATCGAACTTTCGACTACTCCGATCTAGAATATATGCCGCAACGTAAGGGCAGTGGAGACTCGTTGAATTCGCAAAGAAGTTTCGAATCGCAACATAGCTCTGATTCTCATTCTAGTGTAACGGTAAGTTGTTGAAGTTTGAAACGTCTTCAAGCACTTTATATATCAGCTATAATATTCCTAGAACATTGGTATGTTCTCGAGTTGATTCGTGTACAAATTCGATCTTCTATTCCACTTCAACATACGTCACATACGTAAGAGAAAACCGATGGATGAGAGGATTTGTTCATTGTTTTTGTGTTCATGTTATTCTACCGACACTCTGAATAGCTATCGTCTATAAATGAAGTTATGATGACAGCCTGATGATCGATTACAAATTGTTGCCTTTATAACTATTGTATACTAGAGTCACTGGATGGTATTAGTTTGATAAGAGTTCGGACACAGCTGAACTTTTGTCCTTTTCTATTTTCTATAATACAATGGTCTAAGTGAATAAAAGAATAAGACATATATTCTGCTCTTTGTCTTTTCAATTTCCCTAGTAGTGCCTGATTGTCAGATACGATTTTAGAGGTTATATTTTCTGTCAAATCAATCATAGCCGTAGATGGACAATGGGTATAGGGTACAAACACCCACTTCTAGCAGAACAACTGTTATATAAATGAAAAGAATGCATGTAACAACACTTTAATATTAGTTATAGCTATAATTCCTTATTGTATGTAAAACTGTACTCCAGTGATGAGTATAAAACATGAAGTTATTTATATAAAATTAAAGGTAGGTATTCTCAATATACAGGAAGTGACATAAGTACTTTCAAGTGAAGTATTCCTGAAACAATTATAAGAAATAAAGTCTACATAAGCTTTTGTGTCCGGAAATGCTTCATTTGGGAGATACAGGGTGCTGAAATACAGAGAACAAATCATTTTTCCATAAACATTTGATAGGAAACAAGTAGTTTATTTTGACGAGACCTACCAAATACCTGGTTTTGTAAAGTTCTCAGCAACTCCACTTAGCGCCCTAAATAACTATTCACTTTCCACTGTTAAAACATTGGTCGGCACCAAAATTGCCATTCAATAATATATCACTTTGTAGTTTACTTGCTTTTCTTAGTTTCGTTTTCAAATTCTCAATTTCATTATGTAATTTTGCGATCATTTCCTCTTTTCCATGATTATTTTGTTTTGTATTTTGTGTGATGATAATAATGGAATTTTGTTCTCGAATTCGCCTGCTTTGTAAATTGATGGAACAGCAGATTCTCACGAACAGATTTTGAAATCTTCTGTTTGAAAATGGGCCTGAAATATAGTTTCATTCTAATCAGATGCTGTTATAAAAAGTGAATTTTAATTACCTCACAAATTTCGATCGTCTTCAAATTGATTCTGCACCCAGGCCATTTCATATCTTCCTTCCATAAGCGAATGGTTGATATTTGTTGGCACAATTTATTACACAGCAAGTAATTTCCATAGCTGCTTTCATCTCGAATGTATAATTATGAAATTTTATTTCAATTCTGACGTTTATAAAATGTATTGTCAAATTCAAACAATTTTGAATGAAAAAACGCGGGACGACTATGGTGCTCTTGTCATAATGCAAGGTGTGAAACTTAATAAATCTAAACATTCAAAAACCCTAACCGTTGTCATTTCTGTGTCCAAACTCTTATCAAACTAATAACATCCAGTGACTGGATTGTATACTAGTATCAAAATAAAAACAAAGGAAATGAAGAGACAGAATGCGTCTGTTTCTGTGTAAAATTTTATTTAATCATTTTGAAGGATTAATCAAACGTTCACTCTCGCAAACCGTTTACTCCTAAATGCTCTGTTATTTTTTTAAATACCTAATTATTGATATAATTTTTGAAATTATTGAAATTTAAGATATTTCATAACATGAAAAACGCGAGACAATGGGTGAAGACATATACCGCTATCAATCCAATGCAATTGTATGTGTCTCAGTAGGCACTTCTACTATCGAAATGAGTTATTATTTCTATGTAAAAAGTGGATATATTTTCATTGGTTGTTGATAAATATGCTACTGGTGCTCATCGGTGTATAACGTCACCGAGAGTTGGTTATCATCATAATTGAAAAAAAAAATTGAATTGACTCGGCCGTTACTTGATAGAAATCCATGGAAAATGTAAAAACTTCTCAAACGGTAAGATTTCCACAGTTCATTGTACCAGTATTTCACCTGACGATGATACTGTGTTAGCTGTCCTGTGATTAAGAATTTCGTGGAAATCTTATCGTTTGTGAAGTTTTTACATTTGAAAAAAAAAAAGACCAAAACAAAATTGCTCTTGTTTTACTGTTTTTTGATAAATCGATGATGTACATTGTATGTGTTGAATTTCATACCCTTATCTGATAACACATTGTGCTATTATTTTACTATAAATGTCATCTCTCATGAAATGTCAAATTTCAAGCGACGTCATTTTTATTAACATCAATAGACTTTTTATTTGATGCAAAATCATTCAAACAGTGGCGTCCGGAGAGAGGGGGGCAAGGGGGGCGCGTCTTTCCCTCCCCTCCTCCTTGCGCCTTGTCCTTACTCGGATACATTCTCAATAAATAGATAGATTTGCATTTTGCAGTATTCAATCCCTATTTTGTTTGTTACTCAGATGAGGCTTACCAAATTATTCGGCTTTTTGCCTGAAATTTAATGATCTAGATGAAAAGGCTTTAACTGAATGTGTTCAGTCAATTACAGATTGTATAGTTTCAAAAATAACGTAAGTTATGAATCAGATATTTTACAAGATACTTGTAAAATGAATGATGACGAATGAATGAACTTAACTGTGGACTAGTCTGGAGAAATGTCTCGATACAGAGAGTGTAAAACTGTTTTCCCATCCATGATACCTATATTAATAATTCCTGCAACTCGTAATGTGTGATGATTAATTAATTTATAATGAACTAAATACCTACTGTACATTATTATGGTGACTGCCCCACCCTGAGATAGTTCCTGCGGACGCCCCTGCATTCAAATAGAGTGAATTTAGATAAGTTTTGATCCTTCCATCAAGTACAATAGTTTCAATTAAAAAAAATTGTATAAATTATGATTTCAAGGAGCCATCATGGTATGACCTTCGACAGTTTTCGTCCAAAGTAACACTAGTAGTGCAATAACGTAACGTTCCAGGTAAGAGAAATCAACAAATCGGAAGTTCCATCGCTGGACAAGCAATGGTCGTCGACGAGCACGACCAGCGAAACGTTCTCGGAGAGCGGCGCCACGAAATCCGCGCCGCCCATTATCGTCCAGGACCGGCCCATCTGGGACCAGGAGGCCGTCGCCAGGGACTTCCTGGTCAAGCAGCCGTTGTCGAGGACCGGGGCGGTCAACAGTTGGGTGCCTCCCCCCAACAGGAGAGATGCAAGGTGAATTGGGAAGTTTCCTTCAGATGAATTTCCATAAAATAAGTTCGGAACTCTCCAGTTTTATGTCCACGCTGTACAGAATGGCGACCGATAAAGTCCAAGTCGTTTTCATTTTCAAATTGAAGCAATTTCTAATTTTCGGGCGGCAAACTGTTACTTATATTCTGAATCTAGTCTGAAAATAGCTGATGGTGAAAAATATAGCTAGCGAATAGCTAACGAATAGCTAATTAATGAAAACAATTTTGAAAGAAGTGAAACTAGTAAACAAAAACATTCATAAACGAGTATATCATTGAATCAATGAATCACTATCGGCTATTCCTGCCATCGGTCAAAAAAGAATGAAGCCGACACCCATGGCTCTTTCCTCTTGTTGTGCCTGTCAGTATTTTGAGTGGCGTGGACGGACTCGAAGTATCAGGTGCTGTTGCAAGATATAATCTGCAACTTTCCTAGAAAATAGATCCCTTTCATCAAGGAAAGAATTCATTAGCGAAAAATGACCGACAAGTTATGAATAACATATTGTAATATAACGCTAGTGAGAAATTATAGATACTATCGCAAAATATCATAATGTTTTTTTATTAGAAATCAACTTCATTCAGCCAATGAGAGATTTATGGGAAGTATTCATAATACTTGACAAAGTAGGATTGAAGAACCTATAAAATCCCATATGCATGATATAGTTATTATGCATTCAAAGAACAATTTCCCGAAGTCTAGACATATTTTCAGAATGTACTTCATAGGAATGGTGGAGGAGCCAAGTTCCTCTTTTAATTATTCTTTACTGAAGTTAAATTTGATCTTGCGAAAAAAAAAACGTATATATTAATTTTTTACAAAATTCACAGTGAGATAAAACCCTCAATACAGGAAACTACCCCTTCACCTCCTTGGCAAATAAACAGCTATTTAGGTATCATGGGAGCAATGGTATCAGTTTCCTCCCGCATGTGAAGTTTGATGCACGACGCGTAGCGTCTATTTGAGAAATAAAAAAATTTAGCTCACTTGCCTATTGCACTAGCAATACAAATTGCTGCACTGCAACGAAAAATTGCGTCAGCTGTCTAAAATGAAACCAGTGCGTTGAAGCGCAATTGCAATCACTGCAATGTTTTGAACAATTGTGATCTGTATGGCGGCTCTTATATTTTTTTTACCAACCTCAGTAATAGTATATTAGATACCAAGGTCGAAAGTGTTACATTGCTGTACTACGCGCCTCAGTGAACTAATATCTCGAAACAGTGATGTAACTTATCACCGAGATTTGTATGCTATTTTATATACAACTATAATCCTTTGAACAAACATTCTGAGAAAAGCATATTTTTCTCAAACGTCAACAATAAAATTACAAAGACAACCATAGAAAAGTAACTTCTATGATGACGACAACTAACAACAAATAACTTATTTTCTCAACAGTAAGTAGGCGAAAATTTGTTTCTGTCGTTTTGTCTGGAGTGCACACCGCCAGACATAAAGGAAGCAGCGGATGGAAAATTCACCACCGGTAGGTGGAAAGTAAAAGTAGATATTAGGTCAGTTTCAAACTATTTAAACATATGTGATGATATAGTTGTAAATGAAAGTATAATTTTTAACGCATGCTGTCAGTGTCTAAAATGCCATGTCATGACAATAGTGTTGAAAGTAAACCAATTTTAGCACTACTGCTAAAAGTGATTTATTTTTATGAGAAATATAAAAACGTAATTCAAAATGAAGTGTTATTCTATTAAAGATACAATTAGTGAAACTATGATTATAATAAGAAACTCCATGGCCAGTCCCATTGAATTTATTTTGGTGAAGCTTGTACCAGGGCAGAGAGCAATGTTATTCGCCGAAGATTTGATCCGCAATGTTCTGTTCCCTTTGTATAAAAAATAGTTTGGGGTACAGCTAGATTATCAATCATTAAGCCAATCAAAATCCTTCAAAACAAAGTTATTAAATGTATATACAAACTAGATTACTTGGAACCAACATGAAATCTTTATAAACCTAGGCAATTGTTAGATATAAACTCCATTTACAAATTCAAAATATTGAATTTCATCCATTCCGTCAAATATAATTATAAACATTCAAATCTGAATTTTGAAGTCAATAGTCATAAACACGAACACATAACCAGACAAAAAGATATGTTAACTCTCTTCAAAATTCCATCAGATATGGATAAAGGATCTATTTTATACAATGGAACAACTATCTATAATGAATTACCTGCCAGACTAAAGAAAAAATTAAGTGTTGAAAAATTCAAAAAAGAACTGAAAAAATACTTATGTCGTTGATTCTCTTCATGTCATCCTGAATCAATTCAAGAAATTATATTTAACAGTCTCTAGAAGAAACATTATATGTATTATGTATATGATTTAAAAATGATTATCTGATTATCTAATTTTTGTTTTTCTTAGTTGCTCTTTCATAATTTTCCCTGCTATAAACATGTATGTTTCTTGGAAATAATAATAAAGATATATACCTGCTGAAAGTGATTTTATTTTAGGGCAGGAAGGAAAATCTCACAGTCAACTCCACCAAAACTATACTTTATTCAAAATTGGTGGACATGTTTCGAAGCTTCAAAGCTTCATCATCAGTAGAAGTTTTGTTACAGGAAGTACAGAGACAAAAAGCCTTCGTCGCCGTGTCCCAAACTTCCCTTCTCAAAATATAAACTATCACTCTTAGCACTTACATCATAAATAACTATTATTGAGCAATTTGTCGACTAGAGATGGATAAAATCAACGAAAGAGAACACTTGCTTTATGAGACGAATTGTCTTACTTGTTCTCTTCGAGCAACATGTGCCACAATATATAATCCGTATATTATTTCTTTGCGTGTTAATGGAATTAGCAAAGACCTACGCACAACTTGCTATCCTCTTGTAAAGTAGAATAAAGAGCAGTAATTTCTAGCGTGACGTGACATCATTCTCTAACGCAACGGGTTCTGTTAGACGATTGCATATGGAAGAGTTCGTATGTCAGGGCGCATTCGACTCTGGCTATTGCAAAGACGTGCAGTACTGGAATACATGCATTTAAACTCCATTCCTACAACATCACGTCACTGCTTCACTAAAACATCTGACCTTGAATTGATTTCTTTAATTTTTTTTGACGTTGTGACGCACGTGCAAAGAAATTTATAGACTATAGTATGTTATAAAACAATTCTACACCACTGAGATGAAATTCACCGAAACCTTAGGTACACGAACGAGGCGCGCAACCTGCGCAGCTACCAGCCGGTGCGCCGCCCCGCGCGCGACAAACCGCCCCCCTTCGACGACCGCCCCGACGACGTCTACCCGTTCGACCAGACGCCCGACAAGCTGGCCGAGATCCTGGGCAGGCCGGAGGCGCCGGCGCGGAGCGCGAGGAGGTCGCGCAGCCGCGGGCACGTCAAGAGTCTGGGCGAGGAGGTGACCGATAGCGTGGGCGGGGGTGCGGAGAAGGGCGGCCCGTTGGGCACGATCGACGAGTCGAAGATGCACGTGGATGTGGAGGGGAGTCCAAAAGGTGGGTGGCCGTTATTTCTGTTTTGTGTGTTTGTAGACTAACCTTAACGCAATTGATCAATCCACAAAGGACCCCGCACCGCTCTTATGGGGTTTTGGGTCCCGATCAAATCGGCTGGAATTAAAGTATGTTGTAGTTTGTGATATCCTGATCAAAAGCTCTCATGGGCCCAACTCAATCCTATAACTAGTTCTCGAGCAACAGCGATTCAAATGTTGGATTGTTGCCTTCAAGGGTGTTGAACATACATATTTTTGCCCTATGAGCTTCAAAAAACGACTTGTTGATAAAATTTCAACCTTAATAATGAGGTTGTTTCAAGAATAATTCGATCAACTGAAATATTGATAACAGGGTGATGCCTAATATCTTGACAATACAGGCTGATCCACGGTGGATGGCCTATTAGAAGTATCTGGAGAACAAAAAGACAGAACATTCTGAAAATTGGGATGCTTTGATAATTGAACATTCTCTATCCGTCTGAAATATTTTCATCGATACAGTGTTGCCACTTCTATCAGAAACAACTAGCAACTTCGTTATTTTGAATGGAGCACCCTATTTTATTGAATTCTTAGATTCTCCTTGTAAAGCTGATTTCATCAATGTATCACACTTTGGGTCTAGCAGGAATGATTACAGAGATATAGGGTGTTCAAAATCGAGATTTTTTCAATTTCAGGATTTTTTTGTGTCGAAACTATTCATTATTGATCGAAACGGCTCACATGTCCCTATCTCAACTTTCGATTCACTATCTACTGACATTTAATTAGAACAGATACAGGGTGATTAGAATTCTGAATCTTGAAGCACCCTGTATTTTACCAATCAAATTCCAGTAGATAGTCAATCAAAAGTTAAGATAGGGACATGTAAGCCGTTTTGATCGATATTGAATAGTTTCGACACAAAACAATCTTAAAATTGAAAAAATCTCGATTTTGAACACCCTATATCTCTGTAATCATTCCTGCTAGACCCCAAGTGTGATACATTGATGAAATCAGCTCTTTAGAAAGAATCTACAAATGCAATAAAATACAGGGTGTTCCATTCGAAATAACAAAGTTGCTAGTTGTTTCTGATAGAAGTGGCAACACTGTATCGATGAAAATATTTTAGATGAGTAGAGAATGTTCAATTATGGAAGAATCGCAATTTTCAGAATGTTCTGTCTTTTCGTTCTCTAGATACTTCTAATAGGCCATCCACCGTGGATCACCCTGTATATTGAATATATATATACAGGGTGTTTCCTAACTACGGTTCCTAACTGCAGGGGGTGATTTGTTAGGTCATTTTTAGAGGAAAAGTTCCTATGAACATATGTCCGGAGTTGCATCGTTTCTGAGATACAGGGCGTTGAAATTAAAGTAGAAAAAAACTGTAATTATAAAATATCATGAATATCCTGGTACCGATTTGGTTAAAATTTGGTACTAATATCATTACAATACTATCATTGTCTTTGTCATGTAAAATAACGTCAAATTTTGAATCCTATCATTTGTATTTTGGATTAATATGATTCGAATGCATAAAAATGTTATCAATTTGGAAGCACGAGAATATCCATCCGAATCCGATTCGTACGTTGGATGACAGACGCAAGGAAAAACCTTTAGGCTATTAACTTTCACCTATTTTCCTCAACAGTCCCATCATGCATTTATTCTGTGACATCTTCGTTCCAGGTCTAGCGTACAGCCAGAACCTGACCCCGAAACGGCAACGGCAGAACCTGCCCCAACTAGACCTGCGTCGGCGCAACAGCGACCCGGCCACCAAGGCTGTCATCTCGGACAATCCTGGCGGTCTGGATACCAGCACCAGCCCGGCGATCAAGGGCGGTGACTACAAGTACGACGCCAATGTGCTGTCGATCGCCGGGCACGCGTTCAAGAAGATACCGCGGATATCGAAGGACGACTTTTGCATGTTCTGCAAGAGGGAGCTGGACTCGTTTTATACGCCCGGGTACAAGTGCGCGAACTGCAAGAAGACTTTCCACACGAAGTGTATACAGAATAAGGTATGTTGTTGCTTGAAATGCTTGCTACTTTCACTTTACTATTACAAGCGCTTTATGAAACTCCAATGGATATTGAAACACCTAACTTCTACTTTACTACATTCCAAATAAAAATATAGTGGGTGGAGCTGCCTCTGATGGAATTGAAATATGACTATTCTCTTGATGGAATTCCACTGTGAGTTCAAGTTTGTTCTTATTGTTTATTTTAACGCACAACTTCAACCTTGATGTAATTCCATGAGTCATAATATTAGGCACGTTTAATATTGCCTGCAATATTAAACAATCAGAGCAACGGTCAACACTCGCCCATGGTTTCCATAGTTGGAATAGACTATTATAATTACTCGGTACAAACCACGTAACTAGTGCCCTCTATCAAAATTCATGCGACGTATCAGTCTCTTGAACATAATCATACAAAATTGTATGTAGTTGCCAGTAGTTTCGACATGAATGATGTAAATACAATTTTTCCAACAGCTAGTATCTTGAATACGGATGGTGATACGATAATGTTTTTCCAAGAACACTCAACTGATTTGTTCGTAAAATTGATGATTTTGGGAATCACTCCATCTTGCATCGAGAGTATTACAAGATTCGACGATATTATCGCCATTTTATAATTATTCAAATCTGGAATAATCGATTTTTCTGGAGAGAGTGTTCAAAAAACGGGTACTTCAAAACTACATGGTCGATGGTAGATACCTTCTGCACAGAGTATCATGACATCAACAAGAAACGTTTTCCTCAATATGCATTCAGTAAATAAATCTCTGGTAGTAGTCCATGCTCAAATTGGAGGTGATGAGATAATTAAGAGAACAAACTCAAAGTCTCGCTCCAAGTAAATTATAATCAAATCATATATGCTACATGTTTTGACTCCTAGGAGTCATCATCAGGCTTGCTAGGTAGGAGGAGAAAAGAAACTATAAAATTGAGAACATAGTTCTTGAGGGTTATTTTGGGCTTAAAACCCTCAAGAACTATGTTCTCAATTTTATAGTTTCTTTTCTCCTCCTACCTAGCAAGCCTGATGATGACTCCTAGGACTCGAAACATGTAGCATATATGATTTGATTATAATTTACTTGGAGCGAGACTTTGAGTTTGTTCTCTTAATTATTCAGTACATACAATATGTTTATAAAAAAACACTAACTGGGTACACAAACAAAGCAGTTGAAGATTATGATTCATATTTGGAATGAAGAGATATTTACTTTATATATCGCAATATTTCCTCAAAAATCGTGCTCTGAGCAATTGATTTCAATTGGAAGATTGAAAACTAGTATATAGTAGAGAACATACATATACAGGGTGTCTCAAAAAAGATGGCTACGGTGTTGGGATAGGTAGAACATTGCAAATGATTTGACCAATAGAAAGCAATTGTACCCGGGCGTGTAGAATGAGTCTAGCACCAGCCCGGCGATCAAGGGCGGTGATTACAAGTACGACGCCAGCGTTCTTTCGATCGCCGGGCACGCATTCAAGAAGATACCGCGGATATCGAAGGACGACTTTTGCATGTTCTGCAAGAGGGAGCTGGACTCGTTTTATACGCCCGGGTACAAGTGCGCGAACTGCAAGAAGACTTTCCACACGAAGTGTATACAGAATTAGGTATGTTGTTGCTTGATATGCTTGCTACTTTACTTTTTCAAGCGCTTCATGAAATTCGAATGGATATTGAGACAGATAACTTCTACTTGACTACCTTCCAAATAAGAATATAATAGGTGACACTGTCTCTGGAGGAATGTTAACACAGAAAAAAATGGTGCCTAATTCATTAGCATGACCGTTCTAATGATTGAATTCCGCTTTGAGTTCAAGTTTATTCTCAGGGTTCATTTTAATATACAAGAAATTTGACAAATAAATGAAATGCCATGATTTGAATATCTTCCCACTGAGAAAACTTCAATCTTGATGTTATGTCATACATTTCATGAGGCATAATATAAGGCCTGCAATATTAACCAATCAAAGCGATGGTCAACGTTTGCCTATGGTTTCCAATGATGTGTTCTTAGTTGGAATAGACTGTAGTTCACAGGACAGGACCCCAATTGAAAAATGATTGCTGCTTCTCCAGCACTGCGAAACTGCGTGTGGTTTCCTATTGAAATTACTTGGTAGGAAACGTGTAACTAGCGCCCTGTATGAGAGTCTGATATTGAAATAAATTTATGCGATGTATCCAGCCTCTTGAACATTAAAAATTAAAATAATTTGAATAATTCTAGGAGCCATTTTAGACATCAGAAACCTTATACCAGGTAGTTGATTTATAATTCTATGATACGCGTTCCAGGGAAAATTCCTCATTGAGTCCGTCAAGTCACAATTTCATCGAACTAAAATATAATCTTTGGTAGAAATCCATGGTTTCTCAAAGTGGAGTATTAAATACTGAATGATACACATTTAATGTGATTAACACATAAAAAATTGGTTCATGTTTCGGACATATATATGTCCATCATCAGCCTTATATTGAAATTACATTATTGTCCTAAAATTAAAATAGTTATTAGTACAATCGACAAGAGTTATGAGAATAAGAATGCTTACATGGGGATAAAAAAAAGGTTATGTCAGCAAACTTTTTCATTGTAAAAATTATTGATTGAAGGATTTTAATGTAAAAAATTAAAATAGGGAAACCCAACAAACCCCCGGAAAACGACCATTCGATTTGTAGTGGGAACCAACAAATGGCACATATGGATGCGACATTGAAAATATCAAAAACGTGTCCATCTTGCCTTGTACCAGCACACGACGGATATCACCTGACCTAGGCGGAAAGAACCACGGCATGTGTCACACGTCACAAGTCAATAAGAAAGACAAGTGGCACGAGACAACATGGTAGTGACTGTCCACCCAGCGGAGATGAGCCATTGGTGTACTGGAAAAAGAAGAGAAGAAGATGTTTGTTATGATAATGAGGTTATGTTGATAAAACTCAAAATTCGATGGGAAACTTGAACACCAAGGAAGGAGAAAAATGTAACTGATATTTCTGATTATTTTGTGAAATGTAATGAATTGAAAAATTTCAGGCTATCTAATGGGCTTGTTCATTCAGTGAAATAACACTGTTGTCATTCAAAGAAATGTTGAATTCAAAAATCTCTAACAGATTCATCAATGTCCCTTTAGAGTCTTATTCTTCCTTGTTTCTTTAACGTCGGCCTTCTGCTATTGAGGCACACTACCCCCAACTGGAAATTTTGTCGAATCCTTTGGTGTTCCAACCAGAGGTAGGGATCTTTAACGAGTCCAACATCCATGGCCTCGGGACCGCCGGCTTAACGTCCCCTCCGAAGGAGGAGAAGTTTTATTAACATAACCTCATTTCATAACAAACATCTTCTTCTCTCTTTGTGTATCATTTAGTATTGAACTAAAATGTGTTCGACGTCCTTTGCCCTACAGGTATTCGAGATGCCTTGCGACCACCAAAGAACCACCGCCGAGGTGCGCTCGGGCCGACGGAAACATCGCAAGCACTCGCGCACCGCCTACGACCTGCGCAAGCCGGACGAGTCCAAGTTCAATCTGACGGGCACGTCCGAGTTCACCGACAGGACGGACCAGATCATCACGGGCGCCGAGGAGTTGACGCTCATGCAGCGGTTCATCACCGAAAAGGTGGGTTATCTAAGTGTTTCTCGAACAGAAATAAACTGACCAGCCAGAAAAAATAAGCCAAATAGGCTAGTGGACATTCTCTTATTATTTTTCAAATAGAATCATCACTCAATTACCTTTCATTTCCATATTTTTTTAGATTTTTTCGGTCTATTAAAGTGCTTAAACCATCAGAGGAATTTACCGCAAATAAAAACTGACGTCACGATTTCGTAAGTAGGGGCAGACCATAACACAGTTGACATATGTTGAAATATAAATGGGAACTTCAGAAATATCATTCATTCAATGATTCATAGATTCTCAATTATTTGGTGTTCCGCAAGGATCAATTCTAGCACCAACACTATTTCTAATGCATATCAACGATTTGTTGGAAGCAACTTCATGTCCAGTACACAGCTTCGCGGATGATTGTACCCTCCATACCGCCTTCTCTTCCGGGGCTCCAATACCAGCCAGACAAATCAGAAACGAACGAGGAAGAAATGTTGACAACATAAATATGGAATTTGCAACAATTTTCGAATGGGGATCCAATAACTTGGTAGATTTTAATGCAAACAAAACACAAGCATGCCTTTTCTCTAGAAAAGCCGATCTCACTGTGCCCAACATGAGCTTGTCAGAAGTAACCATATCTTTGAAGACATTCATTTCGATGCTTGGTATTAGTATCAGCAATAACCTTTCTTGGGAAAATCACATAAGATCAATTGCTAAAAGTGCATCTCAAAAACTTTTTTTTTGTTTCGGGCCAGGAGCTATTTCACTTCCAGTCAGCTGCTTATGATTTATAAGGCACCGATTCGACCTGTCCTGGAATACTGCTCCGATATTTAGAGTGCAGCAGCCAAACATACCCTTAAACTGTTGGATTCTGTCCAAAAAAGGGCAATTCGTCTCGTGGGTGACGCCTCGATCACAAACTCACTCACTTCTCTGGAACACCGTAGAAAAGTTGGCGATCTGGCTCTATTTTATAGATATTTTCATGGACGATGCTCTTCTGAAATATCAACAATTGTTCCTCCCTTGGCAGTCCCCGCGAGATTAACCCGTCGAGTTGAGGCTTCGCACCCCTTCGTGGTCACTTTGGAAACCTGCAGAACATCTCTTTCCAAAGACTCGTTCTTCCAACGAACAGCGAGGCTCTGGAACACATTGCCAAGGGAGGTGTTCCCCGAGGCATATAACCTCCAGAAATTTAAGAAGAACACCAATTCCTACCTTACTTCACTTGGTTCTCACGATGTTCTCAGAACATTACAGGATAATAGAGAAAATAGAGTGACATCCTGTCCAGATTTCCAGATTGTCTGGAACACATTGCCAAGGGAGGTGTTCCCCGAGGCATATAACCTCCAGAAATTTAAGAAGAACACCAATTCCTACCTTACTTCACTTGGTTCTCACGATGTTCTCAGAACATTACAGGATAATAGAGAAAATAGAGTGACATCCTGTCCAGATTTCCAGATTGTCCTTATGGTAGACGTTATTCACGGCTGCTTGTAATTGTTTTCTCTTTTATAAGATATATTTAGCAGCCTAGGGGTGTGATTGATATACAGATACATACGATACTATCTGCATAACGCAATTGGACCTGATGCTACTTATTCCATGTTATTGTAGACAGCATCATGCTAAGACTATTTCTATTTTAGATTGTCAAATTTATTGAATGCTAATTATGCCTACCAGTCCAGTAGCCCATTATATCTGATTAGCAAAACTTTTCATATTCCTTTTCCCGCACTCAGATGTAATTTATTCAAGACTCTTGTCAGACCCCACATGAAATTTGCTGCTCGTGTCTGGTCACTGTGGTTGAACCGTGTCATTTCTTACTGCGATTATTGCTCGTCTACTACGAAACTCTGGGGTGCCACTACGTTCATCTAGTTTTAATGTATATTATTTATTTTGTTATGCAGAGAGGGCCAAAGAAAACGAAACAAACTGAATAACTTATGGGAGTTTATTTGAAATCACGCTAAAATAATGATAATAATTAAGGCGCTTTATTCATCGATATAGAAATACAGAAAAAGATCAAGTAATGAGGGAACGATCGATGAAAAGGCGAAGTTCAGTACATGCTGTTTTTGAACTCAACCAGTTAAAAAATCGAATAAACATGACATGAGTCGAATATAAAAATGTTATGTAGACCAATGTTTGACACCTCATTTGGGAGCTTATTTCATTGGCAATCCAATACACTGAAAAGAATTACATAATACCTTGAAACTTTACTATAAACAAATAGATATTTCAGTTTTATGTACTGTAGTTCGGCAATATTTTGAAAAGTTCACTTTCGATAATTTTTATGTAATGTTGTTGGTGCATTGAATTGATGATAAAATCAGTTTTCAAAAAAAATGCCAAACATTGGGCTACATAACATTTTTTCTTCCCGCAAGAGGTCGCTATAATTGGGAGGAACCTCACTTATATTCTGATCACCGAATTCAAACTATATTAGTTAGCCAAGTGGGGGAATGGGAATTACATAGGACAGTTGACCTTCGGATAAAAAGGTGTCCTCCATGAATTAAATATTGACCAATTTCAAATTTTCAAATGAACATTATTCCGGAAGTTATTCAGTCTGTTTCGTTTTTGTTGGCCCACTCTAGGTCCCTCACAATAGCTATTGATGTTTATGATAATAAGTTTCTGACACAGAAAAAGTTTTGTAGATGATGTTCTGGACTATGATTTCTTGAAATAATCATGTTACGTTAACAAGAAACTAAATTGGATGATATTTTTTATAGATCATGAAAATGGAGTCGGAGGGCGGCAAGAACAGTGACGTGGATAAACTATTCAAGCATGCCCTGAGAGAATTCAAGGATAACTTGGTGCAGATTTATAGCAACGCGACAAAGCACAACAGCTTGGAGTCATGCAATATCAAGTACAAAGATCTCATATTGGTTTTCATTCAGGTAAAATTGAAACTACCTACTCATATTATGTTGATTACATCAAGTTATCTGAAGTTGAAATCATAAGATATTTTTAAGTATAACTGAAATATTTATACTTGGTGTGTAACTAATTATATGTATAATCATTTAAGTGTGAAACATATAGGAATCTTTTCAATGAATTGCACAACCAAAATACAGATAGTGCCAAAAGTTGGTGCATGTTCGGTAATCATTCTAGGTGCACTTAGAATGGTTGCCAGTCAAACAGCATACAGGGTAGGTCAAAAAATCTCAAAATTGTTCAAGAGTAAAGTACCCTTATAAGCATGGTCTCCTAAGACATTTTTTATTTTTTCAATTCTTGACGTTAATAATTTCCCAATTTGTAATTTTTTTCATATTCACCCTGAACACTTCCATGAGTTATTCATAACAACATCAGTTGAGAATACCTTTGTTCAAATTCAAGAATATTTGTGCAATCAACTTGGATTTTAACTTTTTTAAGGAATCACAAACGTTTTGTTTGTTGCAACGATATTCAGCTTAACTTGAAAATTTCGCAAACGATATTTTTAACAAGGTAAAACATCATTAAATGCGAAGTTAATGTCACCAAACTGTCTTAATGTTTACTGTCAACGCTCATTTGTTTTGTTCCTTGGGTATTCGGGTTTTTTCAAATGATGGTTATCGATTGATTTGTACAGCTTTTTTATAAACATTTCAAATACAAAATGTTCACATTGAATGACAGTTTTTGAATTTGCAGATTATCATTAATGACGTTTTACCTCGTTGAAAATATGGTTTGCGACATTTTAAAGTTGAGCTAAATATCGTTGCAACAAACATAAAGTTTGTGATTCTCTAAAAAAAATAAAATCCAAGTTAATTGCACAAGTATGCTTGAATTTGAACAAAGGTATTATCAACTGATTTTGTTATGATTAACTCATCTAGTGTTTTTCAATGTTCAGATTAATTAAGTTACACACTTTGCATTGTGACAAGTGCACCATAATCGTCGCGCGGTTTTCCAATCAAAATTGTTTGAATTTGACAATCAATTTCATGAACGTCAGAATTGAAACATAATTTCATTAATTATTGACAAGAAAGCATAAATGATAATGTCCTACTGTGTGATGAAAAGTGGGAATTCTGAAGAGAAAGGATTTCATTTATTTAATTTTCCAAAGGAAATATCAACCATCCTTGTATGGAAGGAATATATGAAACGGTCTGGATGGAAAATTAATTTGAAGACAAGCCAAATTTGTGAGGTTCATACATTGAAATGCATTGCTTATCAATCAATCAATCAATCAAATCTTTATTCTTTTAGACAATAATACATCGTGTCGGAAACGTCGAAATTTTTGAAAAAATACATAAAACACACAATACATAGATATACAGAAACGAAATACAGTACAAAATAAAATTAAATATCACTGTACCGGACAATCCAAGAAATCTTGCACAGTATAAAAAGAATGTTGCACCAAAAATGTTTTGAGGCGCGTTTTGAAAACTTTTAGTGTTAAACTTGATTTAATATTCTCAGATAAATTATTGAAAATACGTGGTCCTATGAAGTTAGGTGCATTTTGGGCTACTTTGTATTTTCCAATTTGTGTGTGAATTAGGCCTTTCTGGCGAGTATTCATGTTATGAATGTCTTTATAAAGTTTGAAATAGGTTATGTTGTAATAAATATAACATGCAATCTCAAATATGTATTAACTAGCGAGAGTAAAAAAATTACTGGATTGAAAAATTTGTTTGCAAGTTTCTCTACGAGGAATGTTAAAAATGCACCTCATAATTGCCTTTTGAGCAATGAAAACATCTTTTGACTTGGTAGAGATGCCCCACAAGCAGATGCCATAACGAAGGCGCGATTCAATTTGTGCATAATATATATTTACGAGCTGGCCAACAGCTAGTACTAAGTTCTTGAACATGTAATAGGATGAGTGTAATTTTGAGATTAGACCCTCACAGTGTGACAGTAGATTAACATGAAACTATATTTTAGGCTCATTTTCAATCAGACGATTTCAAGATCCGTATGTAAAACAGACAAACAAATCCATTATTATCATCACAGTACGGAGTGCAAAACAAAATTATCATGGAGAAAGAGGAATTGATTGCAAAACTACATTGAATTCGAAAACTTGAGAATAAAACTGAAAAAATCAAGTGAATTTCAACGTGATATATCATTGAATGGCGTTTTCACCGACTGAACTAGCTATATATATATTATATAGTCCATATGTGTCTATTTTGTCATATTGAAATGTTACATGCATTCTTCTCATTTTTTATAACTGTTGGTCCGCAAAAAGTGCCGTGGGTGTTAATACTAAATTTCTATTTTCTATCGCTATGATTGATTCGACAGTAAATCTAACCTCTTAAATCGTATCTGACAATCAGGCGCTATTAGAGAAATTGAAAAGACAAAGAGCAGAAACCATTGTAAGATATAAAATAGAAAAGGACAGAAGGTCAGCTGTGTCCGAACTCGTATCTAACTAATACCATCCAGTGACTCTAATAAAGATAACCGAACGATGTCATTCCAGGCAATGGAAACCGTATGCCAGCGCGAACAAAAAGCCGACGAGGCGAAAGACTTCCCCGTCACGATGGGCGTGAACGCCTTTCGCGGCTTCATGAACGAATTCATGTCGGGCAAGGCCGACGAGAAACCGAACAAATCGAAGCGGAAAAAAGAGAAGAAGCGCAAAGTGGAGACGCACTGGCACCACGGCCACACCTTCCTGCTCACCATCATCAACATACCGACGGCCTGCGAGATATGCAGCAGCTTCTTCATGTGGCCGATAGAACGCGGGTTGGTGTGCCAGACCTGCAAGCTGATGTGCCACAAAAAGTGCTACGGCAACGCCCCGCCATGCCAGAAGGAGTCTGGTTTGCACGGCGAGACGAAGCGGGTGTGTAGTATATTCTTGAGTATTTCACTCGTCTTAAAAATCTCACATACTCTGACCAAGACAACTTGTATTATCGCGAAAATACTAGATTTCTTTTAATTCTGATTATATATATGTATATATATAGATATATACCGCAATTCATTCATAAATCATTATAAAGTATACACCAACAATTCTAAACGCCAAACACGGATAAATAAATGAGAATTCGAGTAATGGGTATAACACTTTGGAATCATTGCCAAGTACATCACAGCAACGGAGCTATAACTCCAATATGTTTCGTTGACTTTTAACAGTATAACTCAGATCTTGGTTATGACTTGCAACACCACCCTACAACTAGAAAAAAGTTATACTGTCCTCTTGTTTTACTTCGGCACCAGGAATATCCCGAACGCATTGGAATAAAAGAACGGGACGGCCTTAACTATGGCTATGTATACCGCGTGTGGGCAATGAGAACGTTCGAACATAATTTGCGTGTAGGTAATAGATGCCGGAGCACCCGTACACTGTTGGCAATACACTACTACAAGAATTGGAAAACCCCAAAACTCTTGAGCAGCGTCGGGCGCTTGAAAATCTCCACAAATCCCTGCTCCCTGGCGCCCGAGTCTTCTTTGAGTCTGTATAACTTGTATTCCAATGGTAGAGTTTGTCACTGAACAATATGTGAAAACGATATCAAATAGTATATTTTATAGATTTCATAGTAAACTGTTGATCAAAATGGCTACTCTATCTCGGCAATATAATTTTTTTTGCTTGCTATCACCTAACGAGGTTGAAAATTGCTACAGGTGTTCGGCGTGTCGCTGGTGGTGCTGCTGACGGAAGAGACGAAGATCCCACCAGTTATTGAACGGTTGCTGAGCACCATCGAGCTGTACGGGTTGTACGTCGAGGGTATCTATCGGAAGTCGGGAGTGAGCTCGAAAATCAAGGAGTTGAAGTGTCGGATGGACGAGAATCCGGACGACATCCAGTTCGAGACCTACCAGGTGAGCTCATAAAAGATTATGGTAATTATTATGTTCAAACTCCACAAACGATAAGATTTCCACTATATTCTTAATCACACCACATGTTCCGCTAACACGCTGGTATATGATATGTAATTTCGAAGTTCTCAGGACACTGGCCCTTGATCAAATGATAACCCGTTTCTTAAGATTCACAATGCAAACATATTAACTAGTCATTAATTATTTCTATAAAGAATAATAACATTGTAAGCTTCTTTTACTCAAGGAAACAATCTTTACTGTAGTGTGTTTATTTATGTTTGAAATAATCTATTTGTTACATAAGAAATTCAAGTGTAAGAGACGCGATTCTTATTATGTCCTGTGCAATGAGAGGGATTCGCTTCTCCCAATCTCCAGATCTGGTTTGACGAAAAAATCATTTAAATGTATAACCACCTACCGATAAAAACAAGGCTAACCCACTGATGACAAAAAATCAGAAGCGCTGTAATACAGCTGCTTTCTTCTAGTACTAGGCCATCCCATGACATTAGTGAATATTTCTGTGATCCTTCATGATATAAATTACTTCTTTGTGTCTCTCTTTTATTTCTAATGATTTCCTAAGTATGTTTACGATTGTACTCTCTAATTAGAAAAAATACGACGTTCATCACGATGAGAAAAGACACAGACAATTTTCTTGAATCTTCTATTCCTTTTAGTCTTCCAAAATAAATTCCCAAAGTAATTGTCCCGTTTGAACACGACTGAAAATCGACACAGGTACTTATGTCACAAGTTCTATAACACACAGATACAGCTTTGCCATCTCAACCGATTATTTACTTGTTTGGATATTATATCATTCATCGCTCTCAAAATTGAACTGATTTCAACAATGTCATGGATGCACTGAGCAAGACAGTTTAAAACTCACTTGTTCTTCTTTTCTTATACACTGGCTTGTGTCAAATCATGACATAGAGACTATAGTAATGTCATCAGCATTTGAGGTTCATTGAGAAGTACACCAAAATCGTTCAGTTAGATTGTTGAATAAACCTATGTATTAACGAATAATTGAGGATTAGACCGAATTTTGTCGTTACTGATCGAACCTACAACGTGCTTACTAATCATGTCATCGAAACTTGAAGAATTGGAAGGAGCGGAAAACCTATACATTCCTTATTGATGGCATTACTTTATCAATGAATATCAAATTATCTCACCATTTCACAGTCTACTTGATATTCTTTGAAATAAAACAGCTGGCAACACAGGAAAAGGGATTATCACGTCAGTTCTGGCTCTCCTGAACCCTATGTTTGAACGTTACATGGAATATGGTATTCAAATTGTGTTTTTCCAAGTACTACAGCATATTTGCTAAAACCATTGTCATCCAGATCATGGTGCTTCCTTCTTGGTTTTGCCCCATTTCAATATCTACATTATCAAATATCAACTTTTTTCAGATTCATGTGAATAATTGTAGATTTATGCAGCATCAATTTTCAATTAAAAAATAATAAATTAACAATTATCGAGAAAGAAGTAACCAAGATGTTATCATTCATCAAAGCAAATCAACAATTGGAAATGAAAAATACGCAAGCACAAAAGTCTATTCGAAGGTAACCTCAGAAATTATTTCATAAAATGATAGACAAATTTTGGCGGTATTGTTATCACAAGTGGGGCATAGACTAAAAAATAATATGAATAATATGAATGAAAAACTGAACAGAAACGCAATACCGGGAAATGTTTCGGGGTTAGTTTCCATCATAGGAAGGACCAATACTCTGTCATCTGCGTACTTGACTAGTTGCGCACAATAAGAAAAATGGTTCATTTAATGTAAAAAGTTGAAAGTTGACCAACCTTCTACTTGTTATTTGTCAAATGATAATAAAGGTTACAGTTCACTGTACAATACACTTCTGTTTACAAAATCCATAGTTGAATGCGGTGAGATTTGTGGGAAATCGGTAGGTTCTAAATTCGAATACCCAAATATGTCGAACCTTAGTCTCTCTGAGTATGTGTTCAGCCCTTTCGTCTTTCACATAGCAGAATCGACAGTCCATTTGTTGGTTCAGACCCATCTTTCCTGGTGCTTTCTTAGACGACAGTGTCCCGTAAGCAGTCCTCTCAGAATTCGCAGGTTGCCCCTGCTCCATTCCAGGATCTTACTGGTTACATTTTTCGATGGATTAGGCAAGAGCGCCTTCAAATGGGTTAATCCTAGTAGTTCAGACCAGTACGCGAGTCTTCTTCCCTCTGCCCAGTCCGAGATATTTGTTTTGGCCGCGGAGACTCCAAAGTATGGTTCTGGTCCTATGAACTCAGATTCGATTCCCTGGCTGTCGAGGATGTCGGCTTTCCCGTTGCCCTCCTCACCCTGATGTCCAGGCAGCGATTTTACTAAATATACTGTACGCTAGCACAAACCACGCCCACCGTAATATCTCATCTTCGAAGTACTTAGGCAAAACTCAGAGACTATTTATCCTTAACGAACTAACCTATCCCTGATTGCAATATTTTTGAGGAAGGAAAACCAGAATATAGTGTAGAAACACATTGATTAATAATTATATTTCAAAAGTTAAGTTCTTCAACAAAATTGAATAAAATGAGACTGTTTATCCTAAACGCACTAACCCATTTGACTTCAAATATTTTCTGAAAAAGGAGAACCAGAATGAAGTAAAAAAACATTGGTGAAAAAAAAAGTTGCAAAAAAAGTTGTTCACAGCGATTCGAACCGCGGACCTTCAGACTGAAAGTCGACAGCGCTAACCAGTAGACCATTTGGGTATATGAATTTACTGCGTACAAGAGATTGACAACGAGAGAGCTTCAGTCGAATTCGTGTCAAAATCATAAAAAGTGTATTCTTGCGTTGGAGCACAGTATATTTAGTGCGATGTGCTGACTCCGAGTATATCGGTAATGTTTGGAGATATGACGTATCATGGTGGGCGTGGTTTGTGCTAGCGTGCAGTATATTTAGTAAAATCGCGTCCAGGCACCAACAGCAAAGTTACTCTGTTGTTAGCACCCAGGCATTCTAGGAATTCAATACAGTTCCATACAAGCTTGAAATATGTTTTGGTGGAGCTCAGTGCTGATACAATACTAATGTTTTTGTTTTCTCGGGGTCTATTCGTCAACTCTCTAGCACACAATGCAATTGCGAAGACCTCCGGTAAATCCACAGTGAGTAATCATTGTATCTATATCATCAGTCCATTTTCAGCCGTTACTCTGTTTGCTGGAGGGTTGAGGAAGGAAAATATCCTTTCTGCATATGCAAAAGAAGGGAGACTATTTTTCCGCCTAAATGAACCTTCTTCCTAGAAAGTATATATTTCAGAAAATTACTTGAGAGAACTGAAGAGACTACTGTTTCTAAACAACCTAAGCTGACTCGGCCTAAATGAACCTTCTTCACGTCATTACAGGGAATGCCTGAAACTATTAGGCAAACGGTGTACGAAAATTAGAGTTACGCTGTTTGGCGGCAATACGTGAAATGACTAGGCATTCCAGAGAATGGCGGATTCCACTGATTGTCGCCGACATATATACTGCGTGATTGATCTCTGATCAATCAAATAAAAGTTGTGGAGATGACTTTGGGTTCTCCATCTATGAACTATTAGCGATGAAAAATAAGTTAATAAGTAATAAGTTTTCAAAAGTTATCAAAGCTGTCTATTTACTTTGTTTTCATTAGTTCACATTTGTTTTTTGTTTGTGCTCATTGATCATCGATCAAAACAAACCGCTCAGAAGTGTTCAAGTTATCGCCGTCAACTTGGGCGACGTGTTATTTTCTATCGCGAATACCACTCCGCTTCGAGTTACCATGGACCGCTTCCAAAGTTCTAATAAAGCATAGAGTCACTGGATGCTATTAGTTTGATAAGAGTTCGGACACAGCTGAACTTTTGTCCTTTTCTATTTTCTGTAATACAATGGTTTAAGTGAATAAAAGAATAAGACATATATTCTGCTCTTTGTCTTTTCAATTTCCCTAGTAGCGCCTGATTGTCAGATACGACTTCAGAGGTTATATTTTCTGTCAAATCAATCATAGCCGTAGATGGACAATGGATATAGGGTACAAACACCCACTTCAATTTATAGTGATACATTTCTAGCAGAACAACTGTTATATAAATGAAAAGAATGCATGCAACAACATTTTAATATTATAGAAAATATACACATATGAATGAACTTATAGCTATAATTCCTTATTGTATGTGAAACTGAACTCCAGTGATAAGTATAAAACATGAAGTTATCAATATTAAATTGAAGGTAGGTATTCTTAATATACAGGAAGTAACATAAGTACGTTCAAGTGAAGTATTCCTGAGACAATTTCAAGAAATAAAGTCTATATAGGCTTGTGTCCGGAAATGCTTCATTTCGTAGATACAGAGTGTTGAAATACAGAGAACAAATCATTTTTCGAGAAACATTTCATATGAAAAAAGTAGTTTATTTTGACAAGACCTACCAAATACTTTTTTTTTAAAGTTCTCAGCAACTTCAATTAGCGCCCTAGGAGCTAGTAACATGGATCGATATAGAAAATATCTCCAAAACGATAACCTCCAGCGTAATTAAGGCCCTCATAATAGGTAATTCCCTTGGAACATGAATAACTATTCACTTTTTACTGTTAAATTTTGAATTCGGTCGGCACCAAAAACGATATTCAATAATATATCACGTTGTAGTTTACTTGCTTATCTTAGTTTCGTTTTCAAATTTTCAATTTCATTATGTAATTCTGCGATCCTTTCCTCTCTTCTCTTGATTATATTGTTTTGTATCTTGTGTGATGATAATAACGAAATTTTGTTCTTGAAATCGTCTGCTTTGTAAATTGATAGAACAGCAGATTCTCTCAAACAGATTTTGAAATCTTCTGTTTGGAAATGGGCCTAAAATATAGTTTCATTCTAATTAGATGCTGTTATAAGAAGTGAATTTCAATGAGTACCTTTCAAATTTCGCTCGTCTTCAAATTGATTTTCCACCCAGGCCGTTTCATATCTTCCTTCCATAAGCGAATGGTTGATATTTGTTGGAAAATTGAATGAATGATATCCATTTTTTTCAGAATCGGCACAATTTATTACACAGCAAGTGATTTCCATAGCTACTTTTTTCTCAAAAGTATAATTATGAAATTTTATTTCAATTCTGACGTTTATAAAATTTATTGTCAAATTCAAACAATTTTGAATGAAAAAGCGTGGGACGACTATGGTGCTCTTGTCACAATGCAAGGTGTGTAACTTAATTTTTTTTTTTTAATAAATCTAAACATTCAAAAACCCTAACCGTTGTCATTTCTGTGTCCGAACTCTTATCAAACTAATACCATCCAGTGACTCTAATAAAGCATATTCGATTCGACATCCGCCTTCAGGTGCACGTCCTCGCCTCCGTCCTCAAGAGCTTCCTGCGCGAGATGCCCGAACCCCTCCTCACCTTCGAGTGCTACGAGAACTTCATCACGGCGGCCAATCTCGCCGTCGAAACGGACCGCGTCGCCACCCTCTACGACATCCTCAAGAAGCTGCCGCCGCCCAACTACGACCTGATGGAGCGGCTGATGTTCCACCTGGCCAGGGTGGCGCTGCACGAGGAGACGAACCGGATGAGCGCCGCCTCGCTGGCCATCGTGTTCGCGCCCTGCGTGCTGAGGACGAACAAGTTGGTGCCGGCGCAGGAGAGCCTGATTGATATCAGTGAGTGTGATTACTTTTTTATGTTGATGCAACCGACACAAAAGTCGTTCATTTTGATACCAAAATTAGCTCTTGAATCGACGTTTCTATTACTGACACAAAAATTGGTATGTTGCTTGGTAACATATTTAGTTCCTAGAAGCTAAAGTTCAAGCTAAAGTTCAGCTCCTCCGCCTCGCAAATGCGAAATTCGCTTGTCAAACAAAGTGTCACTTTTGATCCTAATAAAACAATCTACTATTCTATGTTCATGTGAAAAAGTAAATCTTTACTACTGCGTATTTCAACATGACAAACACAAACGTTCAAATCGACGTCATGCTATAGTCCATTTTCTTAGAGATTGCATTAGCTTTCAAGCAATTGCATATCGTCGACGACGCCGACGCAGAGAGCCTTGTCGATATCAGTGAGTACAAATTTTATTTCCGTTTTGGAGGTTGGGTTTGGCGAGATTATTATGAGACCCGGCTAAATTTCGAAGAGGACTCAATTTCTATTTTTGATGTTGTCAAAGAGGTTCTTGCTCTATACCTAATGGAGCTGAAAAACCCTTCAATGGCGATGGGCTTTGAGAGTAGAGCCGCCGTTTCAGGAACGATGACGCTGGCGGTAGGTTATTTCATATATTGGTTGGTAGAATTACATCCGTATAGGAATCTGCTATGATATGAAAACGCGGTGAGAGGAAAGTGATCATTCATGATGTAACTCTATCAAAATCTGCACATTTGAGCTATGGAAATTCATATTCTACAACTTTCTCTATTATTATGCTTCCGCTATCTAGAATGGCTATTGAAATTATTCAAATAAATTTGATTTTCTAAATACAGCAATTAACTAGATCTTGTGGCAGTGAGGATATTTATCTATGATACATTCCATGACTTATTTCCTTCAGGTCCACGTATACGAAAGTGTGAATGCGAAGTATGGTCTAACCTCAAAAACCAGCTCAGTTGGAAATCCACGTCTACAAAATTGTAAACAAAATGCACACATAACCTCAGTATGGTGTAAATCAGGATTACAACCATTGTTTCCAGACTCAAGTTACTCATCAATTCCTTGGAGAAATAAAGATATCTCTAACATTTAGAATGACCGACCTCTAAAACAATCTGCCAGCATCAATGTTATTTTGTATTTACCCATAATTTCATAATTGTCAATAATTATGCTATTCCAATTTTTATATTTCGTCTATAATTCTCATTTTATCCGCTATTCGGTATTGTGAAGAACAATACTTATTACTATTGGTATTATAGATATGGGTATAGATATAGGATTATTATTATTACTATCATTATTATCTCCGTTGTTGAGTATCATTATTATTATTATTATGTTGTATGATTAATGTAAACGAGGTGATAGTTACAGACACTTTCCAGCTTATTTCGACGAAACTGTAATCTTTGCAAACTCATCATAAATGAGTTTACGTTCTGTAGCATTTCATATATTTGAATTCAGTCTTTGCCTGTTGTTTGTCTTGTTCGCAAGTAAATAAAGACCCTGTGAAAGATTTTTCGTTTTTTAAAAAGCTTCCTTGCTGAAAGTAACTTGTAACTGGCGCAGTCGGTAGGATCCCGAAAATTGTTCGTATCGCACGGGCAGTTTTTCGTCTCAACGATTTATCGGGATACGAAACAAAAATTTCGGTAGTGAAAAAGACTAACTAGATTCGAAGGCATATCGGATCGAGAACAGACAGTTCATAGTTGGATCGCTTCGTTACTGGACTAAGACAAGTGAACAGTGTGGAAGGAAAACAAAATCTGAGCAGCCAACAGAAAGTCCTGGGAGAAGAAAATCGCTTTCCAAACCTATAGGCATCTAGGATAGAAACACTTAGGATAAGAAAACCAAGAATGAAAATCACGATACTACTGTAAGTGCTATTCAATTTTCCCAGTCATTTCCCTACTGGAACCTTTAATAATAGTTTTTATAGTCACTGCTCATTTGAATTTTTATGACTGATTCTGAATTAGAATCACTAACCACTTTATTACAAACAATTCAAATAGATTCAGACTCAACTAAAATGCCAGAAACAAATTACCAATTATTAAGACTGTACATAGATTCGATTCCTCCATATGATGGTAACCCTCACACCCTCAATATTTTCATTGGGAACTGTGAAAGTCTCATCAATACATTTGTAACTCAAAATGATATTGCTATGAATAATTTCCTACTGAGAGCTATTACGGGCAAACTCACTGGTAGAGCCCTTGCTTTAATAGGATCTCGAACAGAACTTACAAGTTGGACAGAAATTAAGCAAGCTTTGTTACTAAGTTTTGGCGATCAACGTGATATTGATTGTTGCAAGACCTTATTTCTTTGAGACCATCAAGAAATGAGAGCCCATACAATTTCGGTATGCGTTGCCAAGACGCAAGAAGTCTAATTATTTCGAAATTAAATACTCTAGTGATGTCCGCAGAAGAGAAAAATGTTTGGCTTAAAAATTATAATAATCTATCTCTGAAAACATTTATACGTGGACTTCCCGGACAGTTACAAACAAACGTAAGACTAAGAAGCCCTGACAGTCTTGAAAGAGCTATGAGTCTTGTGATAGAGGAAGAAAATTTCTTCTACTCAACTCAACGATCAAATACTTTGAATTCTCAGACATCATTCAAACCGACACAAAGAATCACCCCTATAAGACCTACCCAACCGAATCAAACCTATTACCCATTCAGACCTCAAATGAATTTTTCTAACAATTATACACAACAATCATTCCCTCCCGTTCATATGAATCGACCATCATATCAACCTAACATACCTTTCAGTCCTCAAAATCAACAATCATTTTATCGACCTCCAAATCAATATAATACCTCTTTCACCCCTCAACAACAACCACAACAATTTCACCCAAGACCACAGTTCAATAATTTTCAACGTCAACCATTTTTCGGACAACGTCAAAATCCATCTCAACAAACGAGGCAATTTGTTCGACCAAATAATCAAAATTTGAATACCAAACCCGAACCTATGGATACATCATCTAGTAATTCCCGTATGAAACCACCTTCAAAATTTATCTCTAACCAACTATACGCACAAAATATTGACGAACAGTTTGAAAACCCATTTGAAAACATAAACCAAGATTTCTATGAAGACTATCAAAATTATCTGCCTTCAGATGAATATAATTATCACGATGCTTCTCAAAATGATGAATATAATAATTATGATGTTCCTGCAGAAACTAAATTCCCAGAAACTGCATACGCCCTTGAAAATAATCCTCCGAATGAGAATTTTCAAGAAACAACGGCCTCCACAAATCTAACATAATTCACGTGAATGCTCTTAAAGCAAATCTTCCTTACATTTTCATACCACAAATAAATGCAAACCTTTTAATAGATACAGGGAGTTCTAAAAGTTTAATGGATCCAAAAGTAGCATATCAATTTTATCGAAATTTCATTCGTAAAGAACCTTTCAATATCGAAACAGCTCATGACATATCATATCATGACGAAGTTGCCGAAATTCCAGTTTTCCAAATATTCAGAGTAAATGGAACACACAAATTTTATTTATTCAAGTTCAGCGAAAAATTCGATGGAATAATAGGTGTAGACTTACTCAAACAATTAAATGCGAACGTAAATGTACACTCGAAAATTTTGTCAACTCCTTTCGTTAACATCTCAATAATATTCGAACAAGAGAATGAAGCCGAAGAAAAATCAAGTAACATTTTGAACTATAAAATAAAAATAGCACCTCGCGTACAGCAAATAGTAAAACTACCTGTTAAACAAAAAGATGGTTTCGGAATTCTTAATTATCAAAATTTCGAAAATGGTCTGGAAATGCCGAAGGCAATAGTAAACGTTTCGAATCATTTCGCATTCACTACCATAACGAACATTAATGAGAATCCTGTAGAACTAAATATTTCAGAACCTTTGGAAATCGAAGCATTGAATTTGGTTGATATAAATTTTATAGACAAAATAGAAACTGACAATCCACTAGACCAATCACATGACAATTTATTGAAACAAAATCTGAAAAACATAAGATTAGGCCATTGTAATAAAGAAGAGAAAGCTTTCCGGACGTACACAAACAAGAAGTAAAATCCCAGATTGGAAAAATGCTAGAACAAGGAATCATTCAAGATAGTATTTCTCCATGGTCAAGCCCAATTTGGATCGTTCCGAAAAAGATGGACGCCTCAGGACATAGAAAATGGCGGTTAGTCATAGATTACAGAAAACTAAACGAACGGACTATAGACGACAAATACCCATTACCAAATATTACAGACATTCTGGACAAATTAGGCAAAGCAAATTATTTCACGACCCTTGATCTCGCTAGTGGTTTTCATCAAATTGAAGTCGACCCTGAAGACGTATCGAAAACCGCATTTAGTACTGAAGGAGGACACTTTGAATTCAGAAGGATGCCATTTGGTTTGAAAAATGCCCCTTCTACCTTCCAGAGGGTCATGGATAACGTTCTACGAGGTCTACAAAACGAAATATGTGTTGTATACCTCGACGATATCTTGATCTACAGTACTTCTCTCCAAGAACATGTAGAAAGACTCAAAACAATTTTTGACAGGCTAAGAACAAATAATTTGAAGGTACAACTCGACAAATCCGAATTTCTTCAAAAATCTGTACAATATTTAGGTCACATCATAACGCCAGACGGTGTTAAGCCAAATCCGGACAAAATATCTGCAATAACTAAATTCCCTATTCCTCGTAATTCAAAAGAGATAAAAAGTTTCCTCGGTTTATTAGGCTATTATCGGAGATTCATCCGTGACTTCGCGAAAATAACAAAACCTATGACAAAATGCCTTAAGAAAGACTCGAAAGTTATTCACGACAAGGACTTCATTGACGCTTTCAACACATGTAAGACGATTTTGACAAATGACCCAATTTTACAATTTCCTGACTTTTCTAAAAAATTTGTACTGACAA